TCAGCGTGTCTTAGGATTCTTCATCTTCACTTTCCCCAAATTGAATTAAGTCCCCCCGCTTACAAAATAAAGTTGCTAATCATATTTTAAGTGGTTCAAAGAATGTGGAACAGAAATGACGAAATATCAGCTGACATGAAAGGGAATTGGAAAGCAGTTTCAGCGGGAGGGGGAGTTAATCTGTTGGAGGACAGAGCAGTTTCTGCAGCAACCAGCCAGGATTTGAAGCTGCAAGGCCATTAAATGCTAATCAAGGTGTGCAATTGCAATATTCACACCTGCCCCAAGCAGATAAGAGTTCTTTCCTCCACCCTGGACATTCCACAGATATATGGACCTAACTTGCTTAGTTTTCAACAGATCTCACGAACTCTGAGAATGCCTGCCATAGATGTGGGTGAAACATCAGAAGAGAATGCTACTGGAACATGGCCATATAGCCCGGAAAACTCAGTACCTTGAATAATTCCTATACAGTAGAGTCTTTACCCCACTCAGATTGAAACCACGAGACTGCACCCATAGCTATTACGATGACAGACTCATGCTACCTGCCTTATCCCCAAATTGTGACAAGTAATATACAGGGAGAGGTGGGCGGGCAGGAAGAACAAAGAAATGACTGGTTCTTTTCTCTTGGGGCTGGCCTTTTAAGAAGATCTATGCTGCCCCTTGCGTGGGCCAATGAAAATCCAAGATCCCTCATCTTTATTGTTTGTGATGCCCAGTGTAAACTCCTTGCAGTCGCAAGAGATTGCTGGAAGCACCATGTGCTCCACTTAGGCCTGTCCCACTTTCCTGGGATTCTGTTTTTACTGTCACTGCCTTTCACAGAATTCCTTTCTGTTAGTCACATTGGTTGGGGCTAATGGGAGTTGAATTCAGAAACACCCGGAAGAATAAAAGTTGGAAACCACTTTAGACAGAAAGAGATTAAGGTCTTAACCTTTCTGTCTGCCTGCTTCCTCTGTCTGCCACCTATCCCAAAGTGTTACAGCCAGATCATCAGGTTCACGCAGGGTTATTCAAGTCACTATCCTTTGTTATACTAAAATAACTAACCTGGGGCTGAGCACTCCCTCTGCCAAGTATGCGTTTTCTCTCTCTCTTTCTCAGAGGAGATGGTGAAGCATATCTAATTACGATCTTGACTCATTTAGAATACTTTGGCAAGGATTAGGCAGTTCTGTTTAAAGAATGGGTTTCTGTAATAAATATTCCTCCTACTGAAGATCCTGAAAGCTATTTTCTGCTTTTACTTGGTCACTGAAAACTCAGCCTTCCAAAGTGGGCATTTCTTCTGCTGTAGGAGAAAAGGTTCTAACAGGACTGCGTTGATGTGAGTTTTCTGGACTGTATGGCCATGTTCCAGAAGTATTATTTCTTATTCTTTTCAGGTAAGAATGCTTCTGGTACATGGCCATACAGCCCAGAAAACTCACAGCAACCCAGTGATTCCGACCGTGAAAGCCTCCGACAACACATTCTAACATATCTGTCTTTCCGATAATAATGCCGGAGCCCCACATAGCACAATGGGTTAAACCTTTGCGCTGGCAGGATGGAGGTTCAAATCTGGGGAGAGCGTGGGTGAGCTCTCTCTGTTAGCTCCAGCTTCCTATGTGAGGACATGAGAGAAACCTTCCACAAGGATGGTAAAACACCAAAACATCCAGGTATCCTCTCGGCAACATCCTTCTCTCACACCAGAAGCGACTTGCAGTTTCTCAAGTAGCTCCTCACACACACACACACAAACCCAATAATATTTCTGTATCAATCCCATCAAGCAAAACCGGATATTGTTCCCTTCCACATCTTGTGGGTAAAGTAAACACAATATATCCATGGACATAATCATAGAATCATAGAGTTGGAAGAGACCTCATGGGCCATCCAGTCCAATCCCCTGCCAAGAAGCTGGAAAATTGCATCCAAAGCACCCCCAACAGATGACCATCTAGTTTCTGTTTAAAAACTTCCAAAGAAGGAGTCTCCATTACACTCTGGGGCAGAGAGTTCCATTGCTGAACAGCTCTCACTGTTAGGAAGTTCTTCCTCATGTTCAGGTGGAATCGCCTTTCCTGCAGTTTGAAGCCACTGTTCCAAGACCTAGTCTCCAGGGCAGCAGAAAACAAGCCTGCTCTTTCTTTCCTACCCATGATATGTGCATAAAGCACATGCTTTATACATGTATCATGGTCAATACAATGTTTATCAGCAGGTTATGTAGACTGTGTACATCCTGATGGCAGTTTGAATACAGTCAGTCCTCCATGTCTACATATTCTGCATACACAGACCCCTCTAACCACTGCTTTAAAATATATTTTTTAATCCCAAAAGCAAACCTTGATTTTACTATTTTATATAAGGAAGCTTAACCATTGGTTCATTCCATCAAATTGAGGTCTGCCCGAGAGCTGTTTGTGGTCTCTTGGTATCCAGTTTGCTAAAGTTCATCAATTGTCCTTTGTTCATGCTATATGCTCTTCCCATCTTTTTTTTTTGTCTCATTGATTTCATTGGCCACATCACACATCCTGTTTCTTGACACAGCCACACATCCTTCTTTCCATTGGGTTGCTGTGGGTTTTCCGGGCTGTATGACCATGTTCCAGAAGCATTATCTCCTGACGTTTCACCTGCATCTATGGCAGGCATCCCCAGAGGTTGTGAGGTCTGTTGGAAACTAGGCAAGTGGAGTTTGAATATCTGTGGAATGTCCAGCGTGGGAGAAAGAACTCTTGTCTACTTGAGGAAAGTGTGAATGTTGCAATTGGCCACATTGATTAGCATTAAATAGCATTGCAGCTTCAAAGCATGGCTACTTGCTGCCTCAGGGAATTGTTTGTTGGGAGGTGTTCGCTGACACTGATTGTTTCCTGTCTGGAATTCCACTGTTTTTTGAGTGTCCTTCTTTACTTACTGTCCTAATTTTAGAGTTTTTTTAACACTAGTAGCAAAACTTTGTTCATTTTCATGATTTTCTCCTTTCTGTTAAAATTGTCCACATGCTTGTGGATTTCATTGGCATCTCGGTGTAGTTTGACATGGTAGTTGATAGAGTGGTTCAGCATTTCTGTGTTCTCAGAGAATATGCTGTATCCAAGTTGGTTCATCAGGTGCTCTGCTACGCCTGACTTCTGTTGGCCCCAATTTAGGAGGCAACCACTGGCAGTGAGATCAGAAGAAGCCTGTTGGCAGAAACCCAGAGAAGTGAAAAGTCTGAGCTGCCCCTTGTGAGTCCCTGCTTTGGCAAGCATACAGATCAGCCCCAATTAAAATCAGCCAGCAGCAATGTGAGAAGGGTGATTTCAGCCAAGGAAGGTTTTATTATCTGCAGATAAGATCCTAGCTTGTGATACATTAACAAAGAAACTAGAATAGCCAGAAAATGGAAATACAGCCTCTTTTATACACAATAATTTCAAATTTTCCACTGCAGCAACATCAGCTGTAGAGAAGCTCATTGGACATGTCTCCCAATTCTGACCAATCACAGAAAGAGGGTGTGCAGAAGTTATTAATACTT